TGGGGGCAAAACAGTACTGCATTGACAGACGGTGGTGCATCAGGGCGGAGGCTGAGCCAGATACAGAACAACAAAAGGTATGTTTGCTAAGGTTATACTCCCCTAAAATGTGAGTTTACAACCAAAGTTGTCCTTCAACCACCGACAGCTCACAGCGGTGGGACCGAATCACTGTCAGGGCAAACAGCAAGGGAGGGACCTCCCATAGTCTTCAGCGAGGTATTCACTCCGAGTACTTTCCGCAGAGTACTTTTCTCAGAGTACTCATCCCAGAGTACTCTCACTTTTACACCTGTTCAATAAAGGTCGTTATCTTTGAATCTCTAGTACTTACACCGTATGCTGTTGACAAAAAAATAATTATTCCATGATCACATTAAAACATTACAGACACATTTGTTATTCCATGATTCCGTTCAGCATTCCTCATTTCACACATCACACTCATATCACAGTCACATCACAGGCCGATCCCCCACGTTAGTATTGGTCCAGAGTTTGTTAAGGTCAACGTAGTGTACTTTGACATGACACACAAACATATAACACACAAACATGTAACACACACAGAAGGCCTGTAATTTTAACTTTGTTATATTTTCCATGTCCAATTACAATTGTCTCATGAGCTATTCCTATTGTTGCAACTTTCAGAGCCTGCAGAACATGCAAAGCTTTTTAAGAGATTTTTCCTAAAAAAAAGAAATCCATTTCCAACTTTAGTGTTTACCACGTGGTCTGTATTTCGGGCATATCACAGATTGTGTCCCCTATATCTCTAATGAGCTCTTGTCACCTAAAAAATGTTTATTTTCCTTATTTTTTCTTTTTCAATAAAGCCAGGTCGGATTCATTAAAAATGTAAATTAGTCTCAAACTTTAATACTTCACCTTTGTTTCACGATAAAAATGTTTTTGTTTGCTCATTAAGTAGCACAGATAGTGGTGCCTATCTCAATAAACGTACTCCGTTAGCCTATCTTCCCTACACTGCATGAATTTTCAAACTCCAAGTTATTGTCTGGGAACAACCGGAGAGAGCAGCTTAGGTCGTTCGCGTGGTTGACCTCCAAATTTTGTGCGGGCGTAACTCTATTCACTTGTTGTGGCTAATAGCTTAGCAATCTCAGGGTTTGGTGTCAATTTCCAGTGGTAGTTAACTTTTGGGACCGGTGTCTCCTCATGCATGCCGGTGAAACATGGAGCATTTGCTAGCTCACCAGCGTGTACCACCCGTAGGCCGCTTGGTGTTGAGAGCAGATTTAGGCTATATCCACACGAAGACAAAACGCTTATAATTTCAGAAACTTTTTCTGTAAACACGGAGTTAGCTCAGTAAATGTGTGCGTCCATATGAATGTAGTCAATACGCCTGAAAACGCTGTGAAACTATGCCAGACCTGTTGGTGGCGCTGTGACGCAATGACGGGATCAAGCCCAAACTTCCGTGGGCATGAGCGGAATTTTGTAAACAGACAACATGGCGAGTGGGCGAGCTGTGTGTGTTGCTTCGGGTCACACTGTGCGGCACATGCGTGCTTTAACAAGAGGCGGGGCGATGACGCAAGCGTCTCAGATACATTGCGGAGAGGCAGTAACCACGGAGCGGCATATACGTTTTGAAATCTTTCCATGTACGTGTGTAGTATGTGTGTCTGTTTATGTACTGTGTGTGTGTGTGTCTGTTTATGTACTGTGTGTGTGTGTGTGTCTGTTTATGTACTGTGTGTGCGTGTCTGTGTATGTACTGTGTGTGTATGTGTGCGTGTGTGTGTGTCTGTTTATGTACTGTGTGTGTGCGTGTCTGTGTATGTACTGTTTGTGTGTGTGTCTGTTTATGTACTGTGTGTGCGTGTGTGCGTGTCTGTGTATGTACTGTGTGTGTGTGTGTCTGTTTATGTACTGTGTGTGTGTGTGCGTGTCTGTGTATGTACTGTGTGTGTGTGTGTGTGTGTGTGTGTGTGCGTGTCTGTGTATGTACTGTGTGTGTGTGTGTGTGTGTGTGTGCGTGTCTGTGTATGTACTGTGTGTGTGTGTGTGTGTGTGCGTGTCTGTGTATGTACTGTGTGTGTGTGTGTGTGTGTGAGTGTCTGTGTATGTACTGTGTGTGTGTGTGTGTGTGTGCGTGTCTGTGTATGTACTGTGTGTGTGTATGATCAGCTAGAAAAGCTCAGTGCTGCATAAAGGACCTTAAAATGTGGATGACTCTTAACTTCCTACTTCTCAACCCGGAGAAGACAGAAATGATCCTACTCGGTCCGAAGCGCCTGCGTGACTCCGTCACTAACCAGATAATTACTCTGATAATGTCAGTATTATACCCAGTAACACTGTGAGGAATCTTGGAGTCATTTTTGACCAAGATCTCTCCTTTAAGGCTTATATATCAGTGCTGCTCCACCTAGAGACTACTCCACCTCTGCTGCTGTGACCTGTCCTGCTCCACCCAGAGGCTACTCCACCTCTGCTGCTGTGACCCGTCCTGCTCCACCCAGAGGCTACTCCACCTCTGCTGCTGTGACCCGTCCTGCTCCACCCAGAGGCTACTCCACCTCTGCTGCTGTGACCTGAGGCTATTGCTGATTATTACTATTGTTAGCTTTTTAGATTGATAAATTTTATGTTTTATTTTTGCTGCTACTGGACACCTGAATTTCTCCTACGGGGATCAATAAAGTATCTATCTATCTATATAAGCCAAGCAACTAAAACGGCTTATTTCCACTTATGGAACATCGCTAAAATTTAGAATTTCCTTCCAAAAAGTGACGCGGAAAAAACGTATTCACGCTTTTGTCACCTCAAGGCTCGACTACTGTAACGCTTTACTGGAGGCGTGCCCTAAAACCTCTTTGAAGAGCTTCCAGCTCGTTCAGAATACAGCAGCTAGGATCTTAACAGGCACCAAAAGGAGGGAGCACATAACTCCGGTGTTAAAATCACTCCACTGGCTTCCTGTGGAGTACAGAATAAAGTTTAAAATCCTTCTCTTAACATATAAAGCCATAAATGGCTTGGCTCCCTCTTATCTCCAAGACACGTTAGTGTCGTATCAACCAAGTCGAGCGCTCACAAAACGCCAGACGTCTGGTGGTTCCTAAGGTCTCAAAAATCACTGTTGGCGGCAGAGCATTTAGCTCCAAGCTCCTTTACTGTGGAATCAGCTTCATTTATGTTAAGGAAGCAGATACGGTCTCCACATTCAAGGCCAGGCTTAAAGCACTTTACTTTAATTTAGCATATAATTAGGTAATATATCATATATGGTGTATATATTATATATATATGCTGTATTATGTTATATATTAGACAATATATGTATTATGTTGTGTATTGTGTTATGTTGTATATTATGTTATATATTAGACGATATATGTATTATGTTATGTATTGTGTTATGTTGTATATTATGTTATATATTATGCTGTATGTTATGTTGTGTATTATATATGATATATATGGTATGTATGGTATATATGATGTATATGATATATAATATATAATTAGGTTTACTTGGATCGGTTTGCACACCTGGTGTGCAATCCATGAATCTCTTTATTCAAGGCTAGGTTTAAAACAGTCCTCTTTAGTTTAGCATATGGCTAGGAAGGTAAGACTCAGGGAAGGCTAAACTCCTCAGACTGTCAGTAAAGCTGCATAGGGAGCCCCCTGCTGGAGAAGTATGGTAACTTGAGCACTATCCTCTCCTCCTTCCTACTTTACCTGTTTAGCATTATTAGGATTTTGACTGTAGTTTGTTCATTGCTATTCACCCGTTGTCCCATTGTCTGTGTCATGGTACGATGACGGGATCTCTGAGCCTGGCCTCCTCCATCTACACCTGCGGACTGCCCCGCCCGACCCGCCTGGGAGTGCTTCAGTCCTGCACCGGACCTGTCCACATTCAGCGGCCACTGGTCCACGTCCTGTAGCTAGCTTAGGTCCTGGATCATTAGCCTGTCCGTCCGGAGGAGCGGATCCCTTTCTCATATGGGTCTCCCTCCCTGTGGGTTTCCCTAGTTCTCCTCCAAGGTTTCTCACTTTTTCCCACTGGGTTTTTTAAGAGTTTTTCCTTGTGGATGCAGGAGGGTCTTGTTGGACAGTTAGTGTCCAACAGAAAGGATTGGTGATGATCAGGACACTTTAGCATTCTACAACATGTATGGACATTTTCTTCTGTGTGTGCTTTATATTCTTCATGTGTTTTAACTGTTGAGTCTCTGACCTGTGTTGGTGATTTCAATGGTTTTGTTAAGTCTCTGAGATGACTTCTGTTGTGACCTAGGGCTATACAAGAATACATTATATTGTATTGTACTCTGTGTGTGTTTTTGTGGCACTGTGTGTGTTACTATGTATGTGTGTGTGTTACTGTGTGTGTGTTACTGTGTATGTGTGTGTGTGTGTTACTGTGTGTGTGTGTGTGTTACTGTGTGTGTGTGTGTGTGTGTTACTGTGTATGTGTGTGTGTTACTGTGTGTGTGTGTTACTGTGTGTGTGTTACTGTGTGTGTGTGTTACTGTGTATGTTACTGTGTGTGTGTGTGTACTGTGTGTGTGTGTGTTTACTGTCTGTGTGTGTGTGTGTTACTGTGTGTGTGTGTGTTACTGTGTTTGTAAATTGTGTATATACGTTTGCGCGTGTGTGATGCATCTGTCTCCATAAACCATCTCTGTCGCTCCTTTGCATGAGCAGCTCTGCGCATGCTCCCTGTATCCTATCTCCATCGCCGCGCGGTGCCGATGCGCGCTCCCATCCCGTACGCAGACACGCACGCGCACGGACTCACGCACGCGCTTCAGACGAACACAAAATGGCGGAGGTGATGGAGCTCCGGGCCGCGGACGGTGAGTGGAGACATGTCGCCAAGAAAGGCCCACTGAGGCCCGGGGAAGAGCGCGCTGTGGCCCCGGGGGACAGGCCTGGTCTGGGCCTGGATCAGACCCGGGGCAGGTCTGCTTTAGTCCTGGTTTAGTCCAGCTTTAGTCTTGGTTCGCTTGTCATTTGGGTGGGTCCTCTGCGCAGTGAGGATGTGGGAGACAGATCTGAGGACCGGGGGGAGGACCGGGGTGAGGACCGATAATAATGTTATGTTTCTGATGGTTGACGAGGGTGGTGCTCCCATCCGCCTCCTGCAGCGGGAGGAGGGTGAACTGAGGAGCAGAGGGAGTGACGGGGTGAGGAGCAGAAGGGGTGACGGGGTGAGGAGCAGAGGGGGTGACGGGGTGAGGAGCAGAGGGGGTGACGGGGTGAGGAGCAGAGGGGGTGACGGGGTGAGGAGCAGAGGGGGTGACGGGGTGAGGAGCAGAGGGGGTGACGGGGTGAGGAGCAGGACACGGAGCCTCCTCTGTGTGAACACCGTCTAAAGCAGTGATGTTTGGGGCGGGGTCCATGATGACTCAGAGAAAACTGTGAAAGTGAAATGAGACCAAAACAAACCTTGGGTCCTGCTCATGGTACGGCACAGACAGGAAGTGGACCATCAGTAACAAAGTGTACCATCAGACACAGCTTCCTCCTCGTCATCGTCACATTCTCTCCCTAAATATGTCAGAAACCTGTTTGTGTCGCTCTCTCTGGTCTCTCTCTGGCATCGCCCTGGTCTGATGTGGTCTCAGGTCCCTATCTGGTCTCTCGCTGGTCTCTCTCTGGTCTCTCGCTGGTCTCTCTCTGGTCTCTCCCTGGTCGCTCTCTGGTCTCTCCCTGGTCTCTTCCTGGTCTCTCCCTGGTTGCTCTCTGGTCTCTCTCTGGTCTCGCCCTGGTCTCGCCCTGGTCTGATGCTGTCTCTCTCTGGTCTCTCCTAAGGTATGTCCCCGGTCCTGGCTGGGTTCCTAGGGGCCGGTCTCCTGGTCTTGGTGGTCCTGGTCCTGGTCCTGCTCTGGTCTTTCTGTCAGCGTCGATACTGTTCCTCACGATACAAACTCCACGCAGACCAGTACTGTGACGCTGAGGACCCCCCCTACAGGTGAGAGAGAGTACTGCAGGTGAGAGACAGTACTGCAGGTGAGAGACCCCCTACAGGTGAGAGACAGTACTGCAGGTGAGAGACAGTACTGCAGGTGAGAGACAGTACTGCAGGTGAGAGACCCCCTACAGGTGAGAGACAGTACTGCAGCTGAGAGAGCCCCTACAGATGAGAGACAGTACTGCAGGTGAGACTACAGGTGAGAGGGAGTACTGCAGGTGAGAGACCCCCTACAGGAGAGAGAGAGTACTGAAGGTGGGCACTCTCTGGTCTCTATCTCTGGTCTCTATCTCTGGTCTCTCTCTGGTCTCTCTCTCTGGTCTCTCTCTCTGGTCTCTCTCTCTGGTCTCTCTCTGGTCTCTCTCTCTGGTCTCTCTCTCTGGTCTCTCTCTCTGGTCTCTCTCTCTGGTCTATGGTCCCTGACTGGTCTCTGGTCTCTGGTCCCTTGTCTCTGGTCCCTGACTGGTCCTTCTCTGGTCCCTGGTTTCTGGTCTCTGGTCCCTGACTAGTCTCTGGTCTTGGTCCCTGGTCCCGGACTGGTCGCTGGTCTCTGACTAGTCCCTGGTTTCTGGTCTCTGGTCCCTGGTTTCTGGTCTCTGGTCTCTGGTCCCTGACTGGTCGCTGGTCTCTGACTAGTCCCTGGTTTCTGGTCTCTGGTCTCTGGTCTCTGGTCTCTGGTCCCTGGTCGCTGACTGGTCTCTGGTCCCTCACTGGTCCCTGGTCTTGGTCCCTGACTGGTCCCTGGTCTTGGTCCCTGACTGGTCCCTGGCCTTGGTCCCTGACTGGTCTTGGTCCCTGACTGGTCTTGGTCCCTGACTGGTCTTGGGTCCCTGACTGGTCTGGTCTTGGTCCCTGACTGGTCTTGGTCCCTGACTGGTCTTGGTCTTGCAGGTTCATCCACATGCTGAAGGGCATCAGTATCTATCCTGAGGCTCTGAGCAGTAACCGTGTGGACTCAGGAGGAAGCAAACGCATCGTACGAAGTCTGAGGCGCGAGGAGCGCAGGACGCAAGCTAACAAGGCTAACGGCTACAAGGCTAACGGCTACAACACCCTGAGTGATGGTGAGAACACACACGAGCTAACAAGGCTAATGGCTACAAGGCTAACGGGTACAACACCGTGAGTGACACACGAGCTAACAAGGCTAACGGCTACAACACCCTATGTGATGGTGGGTGTGGCTGCCGGATTTGACCGGAAGTTCAGTTTGCGCCTGTCAAAAAGTGTAAATAAACGTTTGTGTTGTTATATACAGATTATATTATTGATTTGTGCACATATTTATCAAGGTTTATTACGAGCAATGGCGGAAAAAGAGCTCAGAGAAAAAAATACTTTTAGTAGCCACAAAGCTAGTGCCCAGATGCGTTCAAAGGCACACGGAAATGAGGCGAGCACAGACAGTTTAATTCAGGATTAGATTCACTTCTTTACTTGTTTAACTAATAAATAAACACAGGGATCCACAAAACAGGTGTATGATATTTAAACAAGTAAAGGACAAGTAAAGTAAAGTGAAGTGAAGCAGCAGCGGCTCTACTCCGAGCTCCTCTATCTCTGTGGAGGAAACACATGTATCCGTGACCTTTTTCTGCTCTGAAACAAGGAGCTGAGGGTCACTCGTAGGACATTCTCCTGCGATATCAACGCAGTGTTTACAGCTTTCAAAATGACGCGATTCAGACGTCACCGTGAACGAATATAGAAGTAACATACAACTGACACTGCTAACTCTGCTATCAATGCTAACTCTGCTGACTCTGCTAACACTGCTGACTCTGCTAACACTGCTAACTCTTCTAACACTGCTAACTCTGCTATCAATGCTAACTCTGCTAACTCTGCTGACAATGCTAACACTGCTGACTCTGCTAACACTGCTGACTCTGCTAACACTGCTGACTCTGCTAACACTGCTAACTCTTCTAACACTGCTGACTCTGCTAACACTGCTAACTCTGCTAACACTGCTAACTCTGCTATCAATGCTAACTCTGCTAATACTGCTAACTCTGCTGACTCTACTGACTCTGCTAACACTGCTAACTCTGCTGACTATGCTAACACTGCTAACTCTGCTGACTATGCTAACACTGCTAACACTGCTAACTCTGACACTGCTGACTCTGCTAACACTGCTGACTCTGCTAACTCTGCTAACACTACAAACACTGCTAACTCTGCTGACTCTGCTAATTCTGCTAACACTGGTTACACTGTCATGTCTCTCCTTAGCTCTGGTTGACGGACAGCTGCAGATGGGTCACCTAGTCCCGCCCTCTGAAGGCCCCACCCCCTGCCCCTCCCTGGGGGCGTCGCCGGGCACAGACTCGGGCACAGAGGCGGGTACAGAGGCGGGCACAGAGCCGTCGTCGCCGCGCTCGCTGGGCTGCCTCAGTCTCACCGTGGACTATAACTTCCCCAAGAAGGCGCTGGTGGTGACGGTGGTGGGGGCGCGGGGGCTGCCGGCCGTGAGCGCGGGCGCCGCCGACCCGTACGTGAAGCTAACCGTGCTGCCGGAGAAGAAGCACCGCGTGAAGACCCGTGTCCTGCGGCGCACGCTAGAGCCGCTGTTTCACGAGACGTTCAGCTTTTACGGCCTCAGCTTCAGCGCTCTGCCCGACCTCACGCTGCACTTCCTGGTTCTCAGCTTTGACCGCTTCGCTCGCCATGATGTCATCGGGGAGGTCCTGGTCCCGCTCAGGGGCGTGGACCCGAGTACAGGCCGGGTCCACCTGAGCCAGGAGATCACCAAGAGGACCAACCAGGTGAGGACCAACCAGGTGAGGACCAACCAGGTGAGGACCAACCAGGTGAGGACCAACCAGGTGAGGACCAACCAGGTGAGGACCGACCAGGTGAGGACGGACCATGTGAGGACCAGAGAGGACCGAACAGGTGAGGACCAACCATGTGAGGACCGACCAGGTGAGGACCAGAGAGGACCGACCATGTGAGGACCGAAGAGGTGACAGAGTATGTGTGTGACAAGAGTGTGTTGCAGGGCCCGGGCTGTGGGGAGATCCTGGCCTGTGTGTGTGTGTTGTGTAGTGACAGTGTGTTGTGTTGCAGGGCCCGGGCTGTGGGGAGATCCTGGCCTGTGTGTGTGTGTGTGTGTGTTGTGTAGTGACAGTGTGTTGTATCGCAGGGCCCGGGCTGTGGGGAGATCCTGGCCTGTGTGTGTGTGTGTGTGTGTTGTGTAGTGACAGTGTGTTGTGTTGCAGGGCCCGGGCTGTGGGGAGATCCTGGCCTGTGTGTGTGTGTGTGTGTGTGTGTTGTGTAGTGACAGTGTGTTGTGTTGCAGGGCCCGGGCTGTGGGGAGATCCTGGCCTGTGTGTGTGTGTGTGTTGTGTAGTGACAGTGTGTTGTGTTGCAGGGCCCGGGCTGTGGGGAGATCCTGGCCTCTCTGTGTTACCAGCCCGTGTCTCACCGTCTCAGTGTGGTCGTGTTAAAAGCCCGAAACCTGCCGCAGAGGGACGACCTATCGACCAGTAAGACTCTGATATCACCCAGACTCTCCCGGTCTGAACAGGTCTAACCCGGTCCCTCTTGCTGCAGACCCGTATGTGAAGGTGAACGTGTTCTACGGCCGTAAACGCATTGCAAAGAAGAAGACGCACGTGAAGAAGAACAGCCTGAACCCGGTGTTTAACGAGTCCTTCATCTATTCCATCCCTCCGGAGCTGCTGCCACACCTGACCATCGACCTGCAGCTGCTGCACCTGCACCGCGCCCCACAGAGTCCCCTGGTGGCCCCACAGAACCCCCTGGTGGCCCGGCAGGAGCGGGGCAGCTGCGGCGGCTCACAGAGTCAGCTCATGGGTCGAGCTCAGCTCGGGCTGGGCACCTGTCAGAGCGGAGAGTCGCACTGGAGCGAGCTGCTGCAGAGCCCCCGCCGCCAGGTGTCCCGCTGGCACAGCCTGGCTCTGTACTGACCGGGACCAGGTGACCGGGACCAGGTGACCGGGACCAGGTGACCGGGACCAGGTGACCGGGACCAGGTGACCGGGACCAGGTGACCGGGACCAGGTGACCGGGACCAGGTGACCGGGACCAGGTGAACAGAGCTGCACCGTTCTCTTCAAAGCGCACTCCTCCAAATCTGAGGAACACAGAGAAACCGGACTCTTTTGCTCCATAAAAATCCTTATCCGGTCCGGTCTTGGTCCGGTCTTGGTCCGGTCTAGGTCCGGTCTAGGTCCGGCCCCGGTCGGGTCTAGGTCCGGTCTAGGTCCGGTCTAGGTCCGGCCCCGGTCGGGTCTAGGTCCGGCCCCGGTCCGGTCCCGGTCCGGTCCTGGTTCGGTCCTGGTCTCCCCCTTTTGGAACACTGTAAATAACATATATCCTGTAGAACACACTGTTGTGTAGTTGTTGTCGCGGTAACGTGTGAGCTTGGTCACATGACATGTGGGTGTGGCCTAAATGCTCCAATCACACACAGTCCCCATCAGCATGGCTTCCCCTGCGCTCTTAAATGCATCTGCTGCCTGTGTCTCTGGTTTTAGAGCTAAAGATGAACCAGACACAAAATGGAGGCCATGGTGTCCTCCTCTTGTTTCCCATTGAAATGAACTGTGCAGCTCTGACCACGGCCTTCCTCCTTCTCCTCCCCTCTTCATCCTCTTCCTCCCCCACCTCCCCCTCCTCCCCACGAGCCGAACGTCAAACAAGGACAAGTTGGACTCTGGACTGTTGACACAAATGTACAAAATGTAAAAATATTGTGATATAATGACTGTCTGTGTTTGTGAGGCTAACGTGAGGCTAACGTGAGGCTAACGTGAGGCTAACGTGAGGCTAACGTGAGGCTAACGTGAGGCTAACGTGAGGCTAACGTGAGGCTAACGTGAGGCTAACGTGAGGCTAACGTGAGGCTAACGTGAGGCTAACGTGAGGCTAACGTGAGGCTAACGTGAGGCTAACGTGAGGCTAACGTGAGGCTAACGTGAGGCTAAGCACTGAGCAGCGGCGCCCCCTGTGGACAGAACACTCCCAATCAGCAGTACAGCGCCCCCTGCTGGAAATATGCATGTGAAGAACGGACAAAACTGTAAATAAAACAAATGACCAACATTAACTTTACCTGGGCCAGGTTCATCTGAGGCAAAATGTCTTATGTTCTCTGTAGAAGTGAAGCATTTTCACCACAGTGTGATGTCACACTGTGGTGATGTCACAATGATTCTGTGCGAATAGGCATTAAGTTTCCCCCTGAATGAAGACCTCTGATTGGTCAGTCCTTATATGGTCATATCTGGATATACAAAGACACATCAAAGAGAAACCACAGATTTAAGCCCAAACTGGTGATGTCACACGTTACTGAGGAGTTTACTTTTACATGAAGTCAATAGAAGCCAGACTTCACTATGAGCACTTCCCTATTGGGCTTCATTGGTTAGCATTGAGCTAGTGGGTTAGCATTGTCCTTCTGTGTACTGTCTATAACCCAAATAGAGTTCATGTGAGGAGCTCGGAGTAGAGCCGCTGCTGACAGACTGCTCCCGCTTGTTGCCATGGAGACCTGTGTTTACAGTGCAAACATTCAGCCTCTAGTGGCAGAAGTGAGAACTACACTGTGTGAGTTAGAGAGCAGAGTGTGCAGGCAGAAGGGGTGGGGGGACTCCATAATCAAACATGTACAGACGGCGTTTGTTTAGACCCGTGTCGTCGCATCTGAACCTGTCTCCAAATAAAACTGTCAAACTGTCTTGGTGTTTTACTGCCCCGCCCCCAAGGCCCTGTAGCCCCCGCTACAGACACAGAAGCCACGCCCCCATGGTAGCACAGACTCACATTAGCAACAGTTAGCACCAATCCCCGGCGATCCAAGATGGCGCCCTATTCAAATGAATGGCTTGTGCTCAGTGGCTCATGGGACTTTATGGAGACCGGGAGATTAGCTGAACTCGCCTGTATTTGGGCATCGTCTGGTCCTCCCGGTTCTGTGCAGTGGATTAGCGCAATGCATGATGATGGTGGCAGTAAAGTGTGGATTTAAAGAAAACGGAAGGATTTAAGAAGTAAAAAAGTTCAGGATGACAAGGGACACTAATATCCCCACAAAATGCGATCTTTATGAAAGCTGTAGGTTCTCGGTCAGGTTCTCGATCAGCTGAGGTCGAGCTGTTTTAATTTACATTGAGTTCTATGGGACTTTTTTCTGGGTAGCCCTCGTGAATTTAGTCTGCAGTACCACAGCGCCCCCTGTGCCCACGGGTGGGACAGCTTTAAGCTAGTAATACACTATCCAGTTATTATTATAGATCCATGATTAGCACAGACTCACATTAGCAACAGTTAGCACAGACCAAGCCCCGGCGATCCAAGATGGCGCCCTATTCAAATGAATGGTTGTGCTCAGTGGCACTTTGTGACGACATGGGGGCTGAAAGATTAGCGGAAGTCGCCTGAAACTCTCAAAGATCTATGGGAAACTCTCAAAGATCTATGGGAAACTCGCCTGTATTTGGGCATCGTCTGGTCCTCCCGGTTCTGCGCGGTGGATGATCTCCCATGATGCGTTGCGCCAAACACGCGTGTGTGGGTCTCACACCGGGTCTCACGCACGTGCACAGAGGGGCTCGGCCGCGCTCTGACCAATCAGAGCAGTTCATCAGAGCGGGAGTTAGAGCGTGAGCCAGAGGAGCAGAGTTTGTGGCACTAAAGTGTGGATTTAAACAAAACCGAAGGATTTAAGAAGAAAAAAAGTTCAGGATGACAAGGGACACTAAAATCCCCACAAAATCCGACCTTTATGAAAGCTGTAGGTTCTCTGTCAGCTGAGGTTGAGCTGTTTTAATATGCATTGAGTCCTATGGGGAAAATGTCTGGGTAGCCCACGTGAATTTAGTCTGGTTCAGTCTGCAGTACCGCGAGAATCCTCCGAGCACGTGAGTTACAGTTAGCACAGACTCACATTAGCAACAGTTAGCACAGACTCACATTAGCAACATTTTTTATCTAACTTGTCATCTTTAAGTTATATATTTTATGAAAAGTGTAGAATGATTGTAGCTGAAAGCGACTGCTTGGCCGTTTCTCACTTCCGGTCCCACAGGAGCAGTGTGGTCGGCACTAGATCATATACGGAATCGGGACGAAACCGGAAGTAACGATCATACTAGTTTTAGACTAATAAGTCCTTAAGTGGTGACTGGTTAAGTTTAGGCGTCTGATTAAGATGGTTAAGTTTAGCGTTAAGGCTGGGTTGGGGTTATTTTATGGGAATGGCTGGTTAAGTTTAGGCATGAATAGGTAGTTTGTTATTTTTACTTCCGCTTCCGTCCCGCTTCCGTATATGATCTAGTGCTGACCGGAGCAGTGTACCCACAAAAGATTCATACATTAGATTTAAAGGTGTAATTTGAAGGTGTCTCATACAGTAGTGTGGCGCCCTCGTGTGGACAGACGCGCACACACACCTTTGGATCAACTGCGTCATTTTCCGTGTGTCCCGCCCATGGATCTATTAGGTCCCGCCTCACGTCCTGGAACAACGAGACCGAGACCAGGACCCAGACCCAGACCAGAACCAGACCAGGATCAGGATCAGGATCAGGACCAGACCCAGACCAGAACCAGAGCCAGACCAGGACCAGAACTCCTTCTCCTCACAGACAAACACGGTGAGAGACATGTAGTGCAGTGCGCATGCGTGGGTTTGTGTTGTTATTTATTTCATTTCTTATAAAAGATTATATTTAAAGCTAGGGTCTGTGACTTTAAAGCTGGGGTCTGTGACTTTAAAGCTGGGGTCTGTGACTTTAAAGCTGGGGTCTGTGACTTTAAAGCTGGGGTCTGTAACTCTCAGATCAATAGAACTCTGTATTAAACCCATGTCTCTAGTTTAATGTATTTGTGATGTCACATGTTTAGCTCAAAGAGAGGACCCCCCCCTCTCTGCCAATCAGCTCTCAGCCCAAAGAGGCAGATACTGACTCACAGGGACATACTGACTCACAGGGACATACTGACAAACAGGGACCTGTAGATACTGACTCACAGGGACCTGCAGATACTGACTCACAGGGACATACTGACTCACAGGGACCTGTAGATACTAACTCACAGGGACCTGTAGATACTGACTCACAGGGACCTGTAGATACTGACTCACAGGGACATGTAAATACTGACTCACAGGGACCTGCAGATACTGACTCACAGGGACCTGTAGATACTGACTCACAGGGACCTGTAGATACTGACTCACAGGGACCTGTAGATACTGACTCACAGGGACCTGTAGATACTGACTCACAGGGACCTGTAGTTTAAGTGTTGTTGACTGAAGATTAAAGCTGAAATTACATTAGAACGATGTTAATGTTGAGCTAGCATAACATGATGTTACATTAGCATAGTGTTAGCATTAGCCAGTGTAATATTAGCATTGAGTTTATAATGATAGAATTATGTTAGCATACCCTTAGCATTATGGTAGCCATTACACGGACCGGTAGATGTGACGCTCCGCCTCCCCACAAATGGCGTCTGCCTCCATCACCAGAGTGGGCGGAGTCATCGTGGTGACGCAGGTGATTCCTCAGAGCGAACAGAACGCCGTACTTTTGGAGGCCCCGCCCCCTGATGTCACACAGGCCCCGCCCTCTCCCCGAGAGAAGATGGACAAGATGGCTGCCGAGTTTCATCGTGGTGAACCGCTGATCATGGGGGTGAGAGACTCATCCCCCCCTCCCCCTCCTGTCCTCCTGTCCTCCTGTCCTCCCCCCTCCTCCTCCTGTCTTCCCTCCTCCTCCCCCCTCCTCCTCCTGTCTTCCCCCTCCTGTCCTCCCCCTCCCCCTCCTGTCCTCCCCCTCTGTCCTCCCCCCTCCTCCTCCTGTCTTCCCCCTCCTGTCCTCCCCCTCCCCCTCCTGTCCTCCCCCTCTGTCCTCCCCCCTCCTCCTCCTGTCTTCCCCCTCCTGTCCTCCCCCCTCCTCCTCCTGTCTTCCCCCTCCTGTCCTCCCCCCTCCTCCTCCTGTCTTCCCTCCTCCCCCCCCCCCTCCCCCCCTCCCCCTCCCCCTCCTGTCCTCCCCCCCTCCTCCTCCTGTCTTCCCCCTCCTGTCCTCCCCCCTCCCCCTCCTGTCCTCCCCCTCTGTCCTTCCCCCTCCTCCTCCTGTCTTCCCCCTCCTGTCCTCCCCCCTCCCCCTCCTGTCCTCCCCCTCGTCCTGTGCGACCCAGACATTTTGGCTCAGATGAAGCTGTTGCAGGTCTTCCAGTTGGTCTTGGGTCTGGTCTTCGTGCTGTTCTCTCTCACGGCTGCGGTTCACAAAACACTCCTGATGCACATCCCAGCCAGCTCCTGTGTACTGGTGAGACCAGGACCAAGACCAGGACCGGGACCAGGACCGGGACGAGGACCAGGACCAGAATTGGGACCAGGACCAGGACCAGGACTGAGACCAGGACAAAGACCAGGACTGAAACCAGGACCAGGGCCGACACCAGGACTGGGACCTGAAACGAGACCTGAACTGGGACTGAGGTCCGGTCTAAGCCCTGTCTCTTGTCCTCAGTTCGTCTTCGCTGGTTTTGTGACTTTGAAAGCGGCAAAAACCACAACACCGTTTCATGTGAGTATGTTTGGCCCCGCCCACTCCAGCCAGGACCAATCAGAGCACAGCTACACTCTTTCTCTGGTCTCTCTCTTGACCAATCACAGCAGAGTGTGGGGTCCCCAGGGGTGGAGCTTAGGCACACACTGAGCCTCATCTCTTCACACCACTCTTGTGTCCCGGGGCAGGTGCGGCTGGCGGCTGGTTGGAGCGTGCTCAGTTCGCTCCTGTGTGTTGTGGGCGTGGCCTATGTGAGCTGGCTGCTGTCGTGGCCCCGCCCCTCAGAGCGACTCTGCGAAGGACTGGACTACGACAAGTGTTTCCAGACGGGACTGTGGATGCTGGACGTGAGAGCTGAAATCTCAATCCCCTGGTTTCTCTCTAGTCTCTCTCTGGTCTCTCTCTGGTCTCTCTCTGGTCTCTCTCTGGTCTCTCTCTCTGGTCTCTCTCTCTGGTCTCTCTCTCTAGTCTCTCTATCTGGTCTCTCTCTGGTCTCCCTCTGCTCTTTCTCTGGTCTCTGATGGTCTGATTGATGGTCCCACAGGTGCTGGTTCCTGCTCTGCTGGTGTGTGTTATGGTCTTGTTGCTGCTTCAGTTCTCCTTCTCTGTCACTGTTTCCACCTTCTCCATCAGAGCGGCTCGTCAGCGCCCCCTGGAGGTAAGACCAGAGAGAGACCAGAGCGAGACCAGAGCGAGACCAGAGCGAGACCAGAGCGAGACCAGAGAGAGACCAGAGAGGGACTAGAGAGGGACTAGAGAGAGACCAGAGAGAGACCAGAGAGAGACCAGAGAGAGACCAGAGAGAGACCAGAGAGAGACCAGAGAGAGACCAGAAAGAGACCAGAAAGAGACCAGAAAGAGACCAGAAAGAGACCATCAGAGACCATCAGAGACCAGAGAGAGACCAGAGAGAGACCAGAGAGAGACCAGCGAGAGACCAGCGAGAGACCAGCGAGAGACCATCAGAGACCATAGAGAAAGACCATAGAGAGAGACCAGAGAGAGAGACCAGAGAGAGAGACCAGAGAGAGAGACCAGAGAGAGAGACCAGAGAGAGAGACCAGAGAGAGAGACCAGAGAGAGAGACCCGAGAGAGAGACCCGAGAGAGAGACCCGAGAGAGAGACCAGAGAGAGAGACCAGAGAGAGAGACCAGAAAGAGACCAGAGAGAGACCAGAGAGAGACTAGAGAGAGACTAGAGAGAGACCAGCGAGAGACCAGCGAGAGACCAGAGAGAGACCAGCGAGAGACCAGCGAGAGACCAGCGAGAGACCAGCGAGAGACCAGCGAGAGACCAGCGAGCTACCAGAGAGAAAACAGAAAGAGACAATCAGAGACCAGAAAGAGACCATCAGAGACCAGAGAGAGACCAGAGAGAGACCAGAGAGAGACCAGAGAGAGATCAGAGAGAGACCAGAGAGAGAGACCAGAGAGAGAGACCAGAGAGAGAGACCAGAGAGAGAGACCAGAGAGAGAGACCAGAGAGAGAGACCAGAGAGAGACCAGGGTGAGACCAGAGAGAGAGACCAGGACCAGAGTCTGTGTCTGTTCTGTTTTCAGAGTGATCTGTCTGAGAGTGGGGAGAGTCTACTGCAGCCAGAGAGAGACCAGTGAACAGGACCAGACTAGAGGGAGACCGGAGCGAGAGACCAGTCCAAACTGGACCAGGCAGAGCTGATGTGTTCCTCTGTTCCTGATGGCCCTGACCTGCAGCTGTGTTTCGCCCCGCCCCTTCTGTGTAAATGTGTTGATTGTAGAGAGTAGGAGACAGATCAAAGTGTCTGAGGTTAATGTATGTGTCCACAGAAGGGGGCGGGGCTTATAGGGAAGGGGGGGGCTAACAGGGGGGGGGGGGTGGGGGGGGGGGGGGGGGGGTTTGGGCTCAGGGGCAGGGGTAAGGGGGCGGGGCTCAGGGGCTAGGGGCGGGGCTTACATGGCAGTTGTTCATTTCTTAGGTTTTTGTGAATAAATCATTTCAAACAAAACTGGATCAGTTTGTTCAGGTTTGTCTCAGACCAAACACTGCCCCCTGGAGGTAACACTCTGTTCATGACAACACCATATGAAGGAGGTGAAGGAGGAGGTGCTCTTACTGTGAAGGAAGTGCTCTTATTCTGAGTGGAGTTTGCATGTTCTCCCTGTGTCTGCGTAGGTTTCCTCCGGGTGCTCCGGTTTCCCCTACCATTAAAAACATGTACAATAGGTCTGTGCCTCCTGTACTGGCCCCTCCCATCTCTGTGTGGAGAGAGAGACAAGTGCCCAAAAATAACAATTGTAAACCGCTTTGTGACTCTGGTCTGAGAAAGGCGCTATATAAATGAAAATTACTTACTTACTTATTATGAAGGAGGAGGTGCTCTTATTGTGAAGGAGGTGCTTTTATTGTGAAGGAGGAGGTGCTCTTATTGTGAAGGAGGTGCTGTTATTGTGACCGAGGTGCTCTTATTGTGAAGGAGGTGCTTTTACTGTGAAGGAGGAGGTGCTCTTATTGTGAAGGAGGTGCTGTTATTGTGAAGGAGGTGCTCTTATTGTGAAGGAGGTGCTTTTACTGTGAAGGAGGAGTGCTCTTATTGTGAAGGAGGTGCTGTTATTGTGTAAGGAGGTGCT